TTTCTTACTTAATTGCTCTTGGTCAGAGAATGTCACGTACATACCTGTTATTTAAAATTTGTTTGGATATGCTTTACAGCCTAGTGCGTTGTCAGTTTTTGTTCAGTGTGAGTTTGAAAAGAATGTGATACTCACTTAAAGGGCAATGTATTTATGCTATTAAATCAAATTTGTTAGATTCTTTTGTCTTCCTAAGCTAACAGTTACTGAGAGTTACATGTTAATCTTCCACTCTAGTGGAATTGTTGGTAGTTCTGTCTGTTTTGTTTTATGCGTATAAATGGTATTACATGCCATTGTAGTTTACCCTTTTATAATTATGTGATGGCCCAGCATCTTTTAGTAATATTTTGCCCTAAATTCTGTTTTTCTCTGATAGCTACATCAACTTCATTAACTTTATTTTGATTAGATTTTTTTTTCTACTTTTGTAAACTTATTTTTTCACTTTTATTTTAAAAATTGTTTTGTAGAGACAAGGACTTGCTTTGTTAACCAGGCTGGTCTTGAACTCTTGACCTCAAGTGATCTTCCCGCCTTGGCCTCCCAAAGTGTTGGGATTACAGGCATGAGCCATCGCACAAGGACTTTTTCCATCTTTGTGCTTTCAGCCTTTCCATGTCCTTGAGTTTTATATGCATTTCTTATAAACAGAATAATTTTGGATTTTCTTTTTTATCCAGTCTGTCAATCTTAGTTTTTTATGTAGAGCATTTAGTTTTATTACATTTACTTGTCATTACTGATAAATTATAATTTATTTTTGTTATCTTATTGTGTGTGCATGTGATTTTTTCTTTCTTGCCTTCTTCAAGGGTTTGACAATCTTGTTTCTCATTCCATAGTTTGTTGTCGTAAACTATGTTCTTAGTTTTAATATCTTACTGCTCACAGTAAACATTTTAACATGCATGTTCAATTTAGTCCAAAGACAATATGTATATTCTGTCCTAGTCAGAATAGTACAAAGACTAGCTTAAAAATACCTCTCTCCTGGCTGGGCCTGGTGGCTCACACCTGTAGTCCCAGCACTTTGGGAGGCCAAGGCGGGCAGATCAGCTGAGGTTTGGAGTTCGAGACCAGCCTGACCAACACGGAGAAACCCTGTCTGTACTAAAAATACAAAAGTCAGCCGTGCGTGGTGGTGCGTGCCTGTAATCTCAGCTACTCAGGAGGCTGAGGCAGGAGAATCGCTTGAATCCAGGAGGTGGAGGTTGCGGTGAGTGGAGATCACGCCATTGCACTCCATCCTGGGCAACAAGAGCAAAACTCCGTCTCAAAAACAAAAACAAAAGAAAGGGCAGGGGGCAGCAAATAAAGGCTTGTAGTCCATTATGCAAGTTGGGTGATAGAGATGGACAAGCAGTGTGTTATGTGAGGTGGAACAGAGATGTTAGTTGTGCTTGGACAACTGGGGAAAGGTGAGTGGAGGCTGATGAAGGAAGGAAAGACGGAAGCAGAGTTTTGAAGGGTAACTTAAGATTTTTGAAGGGTAAGGTTTGACAGTGGGGAGTTTTATGGGTCAGTACCACCTGGAGAACTTTGAGGGAAAAATGTGTAGTTTTGGTTATGACTCCCAGCCTGTTGAATCCTTTGGGGTTGGAAATCTACTTGCCAGTTTTAGATGATTTCCAGGACTGTCTGATGCAGATAGCTTGCCATTTGGAAACCATTGCCAAGTAGATTTCAAGAAGGAATTTAAAATTTTGGTTGTAGAAAACTAAAGTGACTACCATCCTGCCGTTTAATATATTGATTTGATAATTTTATTGTTTGTATGATAATATTTAACCAAGTGATTAATATAAATCAACGTTTAGATTATAGTTTACTATTTCTAAAATCTGACATAAATAGAATATCATCTTTATTATATTAATATATTCAGACCTGTTCTTTCTAGTAGATTAAGTATCTGTGGCTGTGAGGATATCTTTTAGATTAGACAGTTTTTTCTTTGTAGAATAAGTAGCATATTGATTTGCACAATTATGCATGTGTTGTGCTTTTCAAGGAAGATAGGAAAGAATGTATGATTCAGTAATTGCTTGAGGAACTCATGGATTTGTATTTGTAGCAGTATAACATGGGTAGTAGTGTTTATGCCATATACACAGGGTCAATAATGTCAGCAGACTTTGGGATTTTGTAATCCAGAATGCTGGGATTACAGGCATAAGCCTTGGTGCCTACCCTCTACAAAAATTTAAACATTAGCCCTGTATGGTGGCATGCCCCTGTAGTCCCAGTTACAGGAGAGGCAAAGGCGGGAGGATCCCTTGAGCCCAAGAGTTCGAGGTTACCATGAACTGTGATCATGCCACTGCACTCCGGCCTGGGTGACAGAGTGACACCCCGTTTTAAAAAACAAAACAAAAAAGACTGGGCACGGTGGCTCATGCCTGTAATCCCAGCACTTTGGGAGGCTGAGGCGGAGGTTGCAGTGAGCTAGATCATGCCACTGCATTCCAGCGTGGGCAACAGAGAGACTCCATCTCAGAAAAACAAAACAAAAAAAGCAATAAAACAAAAACCCCACAGACTCATCTTATTGAACTAGAGAAGGTGGTGGGAATAAAAAATTTGAAAATTAGCCAGGCATGATGGCTTACACCGGTAATCCCAGTGCTTTGGGAGGCCAAGGCAGGCATATCACTGAGGGGCAGGAGTTGGAGGCCAGCCTGGGCAGCATAGTGAGACCCCATTTCTACAAAAAATACAAAAATTAGCTCGACTTGGCACGTGCCTGTAGTCCCAGCTGCTGAGGAGGCTGAGGCAGGAGGATTACTTGAGCCCTGGATGTTGAGGCTGCAGTGAGCTGTAATCATGCTACTGTACTCCAGTCTGGGCAACAGAGAGAGGCTGTCTTAAAAACAGACAGAAAACCCAAAAAGCAAATAAACAAAATAATTTGAAAATGGAAAGACAAAAATACTTCTAGAATATCGTTCGCTGTTCACAGTTTTTTTTTTTTTTTTTTGAGACAAGGTCTTACTCTGTCACCTAGGCTCTAGTGCAGTGGTGCAATCTTGACTCGCTGCAACCTCTGCCTCCTGGATTCAAGCGATTATCTTGCCTCAGCCTCTCTAGTAGCTGGGATTACAGGCTCCTGCCACCGAGCCCAACTCATTTTTGTATTTTTAGTAGAGATGGTTTCACCACGTTGGCCAGGCAGGTGATCCACCCGCCTCGACCTCCCAAAGTGTTGGGATTACAGGCGTGAGCCACCGCACCCAGCCCTCACAGTTTTATTAGTAATTTTTTTTTTTTTTAAATTGAGGTGGAGTCTGGCTTTGTTGTCCAGGCTGGAGTGCAGCAGCGGGATCTCAGCTCACTGCAACCTCTGCCACCTGGGTTCAAGCGATTCTCGTGCCTCACCCTCCTGAGTAGCTAGGATTTACAGGCGTGCACCACCATGCCCGGCTAATTTTTTTGTATTTTTAGTAGAGACGGGGTTTCACCATGTTGACCAGGCTGGTCTCGAACTCCTGACCTCAGGTGATCTGTACTCTTTGGCCTTCCAAAGTGCTGGAATTACAGGTGTGAGCCGCCACACCCAAAATTCTTTTCAAAAAAGTGTTGAAGAATTTAACACAATTTTTTTGTTTTTTGAGACAGAGTTTCACTCTTTCACCCAGGCTAGAGTGCAGTGGTGCCATATCAGCTCACTGCAACCTCCACCTCCCAGGTTCAAGTGATTCTCATGCTTCCACCTCCGAGTAGCTGGGAGGTGTGCACCACCACACCCGGCTAATATTTTTGTGGTTTTAGTAGAGACTGGGTTTCACCATGTTGCCCAGCTGGTCTCAAATTCCTGATCTCAAGTTATCCTCCTGCCTTGGTCTCCCAAAGTGCTGGCATTACAGGCATGAGCCACAGGGAACAGCCAACACAATTCTTTAATGGAAATATTTTCAGTTTTATCTGGAGAACTGTAGAGGGTGCTATATGATTAGGAATAGTAGTCTGAACTGGCTTTAGCTAATTGTAAGAATTCTCTGAAGCCAGAGATTCACAGTAGTTAATTTTTCCTGGGTGAACAACTTTTTAAAAATTATTTTGACTGAAGTTAGAGTGAGTAATGTTGCATAATTGATATAATTTATAATGAGTGTTGATCTAATATAATTGATTGTAACATTTTTCATCATCTAGATTATTTAATTGAAATTATGACTTGCCCTCTTTATATAATGGTTTGAATAATATAGGTTTATTTTCCTGCCATCTACCTCCAGCCCCCTTTCCCAAATTAAGTATTTGTAAGTCTTAATAGGTTAAAAGTTAACCAAACCCCATGTAACAGGAATGTACATTTTAGGTAGATCTGACTCAAAAGATTATTGTCTTTAGAAGAACGATTGTTACACCAAAATGGTATTTAAAAACTTGGACAGACTTTAGAAATTGTTTTTGTTAAGAGAGAAGTCTGGATTTTGGGTGATTAATTTATTATTCAGAAATACATTTCATAAATTCCAAACTTTAACTGTTCCCAAATTTTTCTGGTTTAATAGTGATTTTAGAAAATTTGAGGTGGAACTGTTTGATCCTGTGTCTTAAAGGATTGCTTTTGGAAATTGATTTTTAGTAACTTGGATTCAATTTCCCCAGTACTGAATAATTTTGAAATTATTTGAACTAGGTCAAGTTAGTCCAAGTGGTATATTTTGGAATAAAAGGTGGTAATAAGTCAGCTAAATGTTAAAACCCCCAAAAATGTTAGATAAGTATCTGTTTTTCTAAAATGCAGGTTTTTAAAAAACCTTTAAAGAATTCTGACTCAAACCTTGCCAGGAATTTTTTTCCTTTTTTCTGAAACCATGTTTTCGACATTTATTATCAAGTTTTATACTGTAATTCCTTAAAAAGTTAAGCAAGAATTTGTCTCTCTTGCCACTTAAAAGTGAAAGCATTTTCTGTTCTTGTGGGTAAAAATATGGTATTGTTTAAGCTTTGTCATTAAATAAATGTATCTGTTCTTGTTTTTAACTCTCAAGGCACCACCTTCCATGGTCAATAATGAACAACGCCAGCATGCAGAGCACATATTCTTATCATTTAGGAAATCAAAATCACCATTTGCAGTTTGCAAGCATATTTTGGGTAAGTATTCACTTAAAAAATATAAAGTATTTTGGCATAATCAGATCTGGGTTTGCTGTCTTAAACATTAACTATTTTAAATCCCTTTTTAAAAACCAGGTTTGTATAGTTACAATTTTTAAAATTAATAATCATTCTCCTGGAGTAGCTTTAAAGATATTCTGTAAAGCCAGACGGGAAACTTTGTTTTTACTTTGGATTTTTTTCCCCCTAGATATAGCGTTCCCCAATTTGTTTTATTATTGACCATAACATGAAGGCTGTTAATAGCAGAGAGAAAAATTTAGTATTTTTTCAGTTTTCAAATATAATTTATTACAGGATATGTACTATAATATCTTTTAGCCCAGTGTTAGTTTTAAAATTAAGATTGTTTTTGGAGATGTCTACATTTTCTTTTAGCTGTTTTCCATAGTTTTTTTTTTTTTGTTTTACCATTTAGTTTGTACTCAGCTTGCCTAACAAATATTAGTCATTTCTGGGTAGGGTGTCACTGTATGTACCCTAAAATAAAGCACCAATTTTTACTTTTGTCAAATATGTTTTATGAGTATCTTATATCTGACATGTACAGAAAAGATTTCTTCTAAAAGAATCACAAGAAATACAACTGTCTTATTCAAAGATGGCATTTTCTAAGAGTTATATATGATGTGCCATCTCTCTCTTAGATATTTTTCAGTAATAGTAAGAGAGACTTCATTAGTTATTGTTATTTTATAACCTGATTACTGCCGGCTGATTTTTTTTAGTGGGAGCCGTCTTTTGTAAGGCTCTAGAAAGCTGCTTGAGTCATCTGTGACCATAATATTGGTTAGTCGAGTATTAAGAACTAAAACGTCTGACTTTTTCTTGTGCTTTTGGTAAAGGCTTATCGATAGCGACCAATAGGCTGTTTCCAGATTGAAGTAAACTACATTTAAAGTTATGTGTTAAAAATGCTTTCCATATAAGGGCTTATGAAGGAGAGTTGTTTGATTGTAGTGGAAAGAGTGCTGATGTAGCAACTATGACATCTAGGTAGCAGTGGTGCACCTTGAGGAAGTCACTTCACCTCCCTGGGCCTCTTTTGCATCTGCCTTACGGCCATAATGATACCATTTGCCTTGATGGATTTGCTCTCTTAAGTTGTTTTGTGAGGTGAAAATGTAATTACTTTTCATTATGTAAAAGCACTTTGTGAACAGTAAGGTAAATATCATGGCCATATACTTGATTTTAAACAGCTTTTAAAAAATATGATCGGCTTAAAAAATGCTGTGTTCTCTGCAAGGAACTAGCAGCAGTGGTGAAGGTGGCTCTGTCTCTGTCAGGAGTTAGGTCTTAGCAGAGGAACAGGTTCAACAACTACCTTTTAAATTCTCACTGAAGCTGTTTTAATTAATTAACTTACTCATTTCAGTGGTCAGCTTTTATAGTCGTGTCGATTTGTTTCTGGCACTAAGAAGATTTAACTTACACCTGTGGAGGCTATTTAACTCAGTGTTAAAGAAAGCAGAACTAAACAGCATAAAGAGTTTAAAGGAGCATTAACTCATCCTTACTGCCTTGAAATTGTTCAGCATTAATGGATTTAGAAAACCATTGTGTTAAACTATTAACCTAAAATAATTTGAGTCTGGTTTTCATGGCATATGCCTTAACGACATTGACTAGGATTCCATCAGTGTTTCATCTGACTTTGTATTGGAATTCAGTGTCATTCTACACTAGTTGGGAAATAGTTGATCTAACTTATAAGTATTTTATTAGAGCATATTTGTTTATACCATTCTTTCCTTTTTAGAATATGTGTATTTTATGAAGTATTGTTGCTTTGTTATGATTGAGCTTGTTTTGGAATACTTTTGTTTTCCTGATAAAATTTTCTAAAGAGTAGTATTGCTAGTTCCGGCCATGCTTTTAAAATCAGTTTGGGTTTTGAGACGTTGACTGTTTAAAAGGTGGAGTGCATGTATTACAAGCATAATCATTAATGTACTGCAAAGCCCTGTGTTACATTAATGTTTACATCTAAACTTCACAGAAAATCTTTTCACTCCTTATTCAGTTGCCACCAGCACAGAAGGGTAAATTCCTCTAAGAAGACTTCTCATACAAGTGGCAGTCAATCGCATTTCAGAATTTTCGCATTCTTGTTTAGGGATTACGTGTCATTTTTACAGAAGGTCTGGGTAATATATTCTACTAAAGGGGAGACTTTCTCTGATGCTTCCCTTTTCTGGCCTCTTAAAATTCTGCCTTCTCACTTCTAACTTGAGTTTTGTATGTCGCTCATTTTTCCTCATTTCTTTCTCTTCTTATCCTTTTGTTTTCATTCTAGTTTTTATTTTCTTTGCTGTATTCTGTGTGTGTGTGTGTGTGTGTGTGTGGTGTATGCAGCTGTGCGTGCATGCAGCATGCTTGTGCATTTTGTCAGAAGAGCACTTTTAGACTTTTTCACTTCAGAAGTCTTTGGCACTTAGGAATTTAAATTTTTTAGGGTCATATGTTCCTTTAAAAAAACAAGTGAGTTCTATTCTTGTTAAATAATCAAGAACTGTGAGGGATTGGTTTATTTCTTCTGGAGCTAACTTTGTGGCATTCTTTTGCTCCTTCTCAGGGAGAAATGGATTTCTTTGACTTCTGATCTCAGAAGTGCCAAAAAACCCAAAATAATAAACCACCAAAAAGTCAGTTAAACTGGTAAACTTTTACATCTCTGGAAAATTGTTTCCTTAGTAGTGCTGTCAGTCATTGGGAATTAATAAATCATCTTCCATCTGAGACTTTTTGTCTTTAGTTGGTGGGCATAGTTGTCGCTGAGTCAAAGCGCAGACTTTTGGAGCTTATATGGCCTGTGCTTTGGACAGAAATACTTAAGGCCAGGGAGTTGATTGTAGTAGCTGTGTATCTGTGGTTTCACCACCAGGGTTTTTTCTTTTTTAAAAATACTTTTTGGTCAGAGTGTAGTGCTTTTCCTGTATTATTAACTTAACTTTTGTCTTCATGTTTCTGTTTAGTTTCAGATGGCTGACAAAATTCAAATTAATTTTATTTACATAATTATTATTAAAGAAAGCTACTGTGGTAGCAAATGAAAGCATTTTGCTAAAGTGACCTAAAATAATTTATTCTCTGAACAGTGGCAGATCTTCCCAAAAGTAGTTAGTTTAGAAATTCTAGATGAGGCCGGGTGTGGCAGCTCATACCTGTAATCCCAGCACTTTGGGAGGCTGAGGTGGGTGGATCACCTGAGGTCAGGAGTTCGAGACCAGCCTGACCAACATGGAAAAACCCTGTCTCCACTAAAAATACAAAATTAGCTGGGCCTGGTGGCGCATGTCTGTATTCCCAGCTACTCGGGAGGCTGAGGCAGGAGAATCACTTGAATCTGAGAGGCGGAGGTTGTGGCAAGCGGAGATCGTGCCATTGCATTCCAGTGTGGGCAACGAGAGTGAACTCCCATCTCCAAAAAAAAAAAAAAAATGCTAGATGAATTGTGAGTTCTTCATGAAAACCCTGTAGTTTCAGGCATCTGTATAACAGAGAGCAAAAGTAAGGCTCATATGTATTTGTGAAGTTCTGATTTCATACTGGTAGGCTTCTAGAGTACCTTCTAGCATCTCTTGCATATTTCTACTATGTATAAGTTAAATTTATGACAGCTAATAATGGTTTTTATGAGAAAGGGTAATTTATTAGTTTAGGAAAATTTCTTCTTTTAGGAGTTTGGCTTTTTTTTTTTTAATTCCTCCATTCTTAGAGTCAGCTTCTTATGGGAGTATTTACAGATCTTCGTTTAATACCATGCAGAGGTGTCTAAGAAAAAGAATTAAGAAACTTTTGTCTCTTGAAAATTTCGAATATTCATTTTCTATAACTGCCCCCTCATATCCAACACCCACCCACCTCCAAGGGGCAGAAAAAGGCTTGGATGTGAAAACAAATAGTTAGAAATAGGAATGTTTCAGTGCTTGTTAACAGTGAAGGTGCTTATTTGCTCTGTCTTCAGTGGCATGTGTGTTTCAGGGTAGATTAGTATTGCTCAAGAGACATTTACCAGCCATGTGACCTCAGTTTCCTCTCTGTCTCTTGGGGCATCAGTTTCCTCAGCTCCTGTAAAATGGAGGGATTGATTTAGATGGTCTTCGGAGGTCTATATCTAAAATTCTGAGAGTACCTTAGATTTTGCTTCATTGTTGAAATCCATGGTTAAGGGTTTTCTGGTTTCTTGTCCTTAAAATTTATACTATTGCAATAGAAAATGAAGATAGGCAAACAAACATCATTTTCTTTAAGAAGAGGTTTATAATCAGAGATTATTTGAGTTACCTTTATGAGACAGTAACATATTTCTCTTTAAGTGATCTAAATAGATGGAGCTGGGTCTCTGTTCAAATCTTTTTTTTTTTTTTTTAAACTCCTAGAACTGTAAGCACATCTTTTCTAATAGGTTCACATTTTTAGAAGCTATTGCTTTATTTTAATTATTTATTATATTTTAAAGTTTCTGAATTTGTATCAATTCTGATTGTCATCTCAGAGTTCATGTTAAGATAGCATAGAATAATCAAAACTTTAAAAAAAGATTCAAATTGGTTTCTCTTAGTGGTTTTGGTATGATGAAAACTCCTAAGTAGTAGTTTAATGTGGTAGGAATTTATATAGGGTACACCTTTTCTCATGCATTTTTATAGCTAAACATGTCAAGAACACTTGTAAGATTTTTAAATGACCTGAGCTTGAATAGGAGAGAAAATGGTGTGCTTGACTGTGTATATCTTCATGCTCTTCTGATAAGTTCTTGAAGGTGCCAGTCTATGCCTAGAGTTAATTTCTCATGGCTTTCAGATACGCATGTCCAGTGATCTTGGCAAATAATCTGGAGTCTAATCATGGGCTTTTCATGGATTTCACGTGATGGTTATTTTTTAGAGCCTCAGAAAATTTCTGCTTTTTCTTGACTTCATTTCGACTGTTTCTCCTGTTGATAATGCTGTTTGGAAACTGATTGTAGTGGTATTGGTGAATAAAAGAAAAAATAGAAAATTAATATAAAAAATTTTAAAGTGTGTTAATTTTCTATTTTTTCTCCCCTGATTTAGATTTTAGATCAGATACTATAACTTGTTAGCTAAGACTGGGTCTTTCTAAGTGTAGCTTTGGGATTTTACTCAGTTTGATCAGTACTGCAATCAGAAAATTCACAAGCACTTCTCACCTTGTGTAAATGTGACTTACATTGTTTTTTACATTTTGAGAAAGAAAACCTGCACATGATTGTTTTTATTTCTGGACTTGCTATTGTAGATGGGCCATCCTGCTGAAAGCTGAATACTTAAAAAGGAAACATTTTAACAGCATGGCTCATCACAGATAGTAATGTTCAATGACTACTTTATTGTAATGTTTTTCAAATACAAAGTTCTGTTTTGCACAGGGTGAGAATCTTAGGAAATTTTCTGATTGCTTTATATTTTTATTTTTATTTTTTTTAAAGCTGTGTTATTTTTTAGTTCTTCATGCTTTGGAAGTAACAGTTGAAGAGAGGTGAGGAAAGTTTGTGAAAATTGTGATCGGTGATTAGCTGCCACCTGCCTGAGGTGTCTTCTGAGAGGAACTAACCTCTTTGTGGTGCTAGAGCAAGGTCACTGGATTAAAAAAAGAACAGGTAACCATCTTATTCCTTGTCTGAAAAGTTCTGTTTTAAAATTAATAAATGCAAAATGTTCAAGGTAAAATGAACAGTTGTTTAAATAAAGTTTTTAATTTTCTCCTCAGAAACTAGTAAAGTGGACTATGTCCTTTTTCAAGCTGCCACAGCCATAATGGAAGCAGTTGTCCGAGAGTGGATTCTCTTGGAAAAAGGTAGCATCGAGTCTCTGCGAACATTCCTTTTAACCTATGTCTTACAAAGGCCCAAGTAAGTACATGGAGGGGTACCGCTGAAATACTTTTGCTGAGCTTATGTGCGTCTTTTTAGAGCTTTTTTTGTTTGCATTTTAAAAACTTTTGGCTGGGTATAGTGGCTCACACCTGTAATCTCAGCACTTTGGGAGGCTGAGAGGGAGGATCTCCTTGAGCCCAGGAGTTTGAGATCAGTCTGGGCAATATAGTGAGACCCCGTCTCTATGAAGTACAAAAAAAGAAAAAAATTTAAAAAGCTGTAGATGTTTAAGGTTACGTTCTATGTGGGGCTCGTATTTTAAACCCTTGTATACACATGATTGTAGGTAGTTTTGGTGCTTGATGAAATAATACCTTTTATTTAAGCTTTTGGTTCTCTGTTTTGTTTCTTTGGAAAGATTATGCTGGATATTAGTTTTTTGTTGTTGAGTTGTGAAGAACTTAGTTATAAATAAAACTTGACCTTAGACTTAGATGAAGAACCTTTATATTTACTTGTTCTTTCGATTCTTAGTAGAGGTGATTATTTCTTTTAATGTATTTTAAATTTAAAATTGTAAGTATTAATATAACACAGGTGAGTATCCTAAAACAGGGGAGAGGGAAGAAGCTAAGTACCACTAACAAATCAAATGTTACCCGTATATGTACATAGAAATGTGCATAGAGGGCCTGGCGTGGTGACTCACAACTGTAATCCCAGCACTTTGGGAGGCCAAGGTGGGCAGATCATGAGGTCAAGAGATCGACACCATCCTGGCCAACATGCCGAAACCCTGTCTCTACTAAAAATACAAAAATTAGCTGGGTGTGGTGGCACGCGCCTCTAGTCCCAGCTACTCGGGAGTCTGAGGCAAGAGAATCGCTTGAACCTGGGAAGCGGAGGTTGCAGTGAGCCGAGATCATTACACCACTGCATTCCAGCCTGGTGGCAGAGCAAGACTCCTTCTCAAAAAAAAAAAAAAAAAAAAAAAGAGAAATGTGCATAGAAAAGGTTCTATAAGAAGTTCCAGAATCTTTAAGTAGCTTCCATTGAAAATAGGATCAGTTTTGTGGAATGAGGTGAAATTTTCTTTTTATATTATACATATCTTATTGCTTAAACATTTTACAAAATTGTGTACATTTATTTCTTGAATGATTTAAAAAAAAAATGAGGCCTGGTGCAGTGGCTCATGCCTATAATTCCAGCACTTTGGGAGGCCAAGGTGGGTGGCTCACTTGAGGTCAAGGGTTCCAGACCAGCCTGGCCAACATGGTGAAACCCCGTCTCTACTAAAAATACAAAAATTAGTTGGGCATGGTGGCAGGTGCCTGTAATCCACCTACTTGGGCGGCTGAATCAGGAGAATCACTCGAACCTGGAAGGTGGAGGTTGCGGTGAGCCAAAATTGAGCTACTGCACTCCAGCCTAGGTGACAGAGTGGGACTCCGTCTCAAAAAAAAAAAAAACAAAAGAGGAAAACTATCAGCGGCATAACTTTTGGGGAGAAATTGATTTACTATTTACCTTTTTTTGTTAAGTTCCCCAAAGGCCGTGTATTCTTTTAAGAATAGATAATGCACTTGTATCTTTACCGTTTGTGCAGTTGAATACTTTATATATTCATTTCCAAAGTCATTGAAGAAAAAATTTTGTTATGTAATCAGAAATGTGTGTGCTTAGGAATGGTGATTAATGGCAATAAACATATACATACAGTTTTAATTTTAGAGCATACTCATACTTATGCATTTGTTTCTGTTGACTGTACTCTGGGAGTCTGAGTTAATAATATTTAATAATACTGACATGACTTTAGCACTTTGTTAACTGCTAACTGCCTTACATACAAAAAATATGTGTGAGAGAACGAAGGCAAGGTTTCTGTAGCCTATTAGTGTTGCAGGTTTAGTGGATAATGTGTCCTGTAGATAAGTGGATATACATGTTTGTGAGGAGGGCATGGCTGGTTTTTTTCCGGTTTTCATAGAATAAGGAAGACTTTTCCTGGTTTGAAACCTTTCTTTTCTCTGTCATGCTGGATTGATTGATTGATTGATTTTTGTTTGGTGGGTCCATTTGGATGTGATACTAGTTTGCTCTTTTGTTGTTTTATTTGACCATATTTGCTAGACCTGACAGGGCTGTTTTTCTTTTGACCCCTCTGTACATAAAGAAAGGTAAGTACAGGTGAGTAGAGGTCTTGATGATGTCAGCAAGTGCTTGTTCCTGTTATTTTGTTCGTTGTTTTGCACACAGTGTAACTCAGACACATCAAAATTTGTATTATCAATTGTAACCATGGAAGAGGTATGTGTTTTGTTGAATTCTACTAAAATGATATTTATTTTGATATTTTTCTTTACGCTACGAAAAATTTTGAAATCAGTTATTATGATAGTGTACTTCTTGTTGAACACAAGTTGAGAAAACCTTCATATTTATTTATATTTATGTAATAAAAGAAAATAAGCCTTAGAGCCTCTGTGTTTATAGAAGTCTATATGTGGGAAGGTTAAAAAAATGGTTTTTGATCTCTAGGCCTAAAATGTTAGAGTTTTCTGAAGAGCAGTCTATTTATGTGACCTTGGGAAACTAACATAAAGTCTCTTTAATATTCCGTTTTACCTGTAGAACAGGGACTTGGTACCCATCTCTTATGGTTGGTATCAGGATTACATGAGACAGTTCTGAGCACAGTGCCTGGTGGGGAGTAAAAGCTCTGGCTGCTGCAGCCATCATCATCTGGACCAGCCTTCCTTAAGGAGTCAGGGCCAGCAGGGGAGCTTCAGGTCAACTAGAGAGGTTCTTTTTTGTGGAGCTGTTAAGTTATCATAGCCTTTTCTCCCCCTTGTCCCCATCCCCCAACCTGAAAACCACTAAACTCTGGAGACCTTGGTAGACTTAAATGTGTAACAGATTTTCATTATGTATATGTGCGTGGTCTCTTACATTATCCAAAATAATCTCATTCTTTTTTTTCCCTTTTTATTTGTTTTTATTTTTTTTTAGAGACGGAACCTCGCTCTGTCACCAGGTTGGAGTGCAGTGGCGCGGTCTCGGCTCACTGCAACATCCGCCTCCTGGGTTCATGTGATTCTCCTGCCCCAGCCTCCCGAGTAGCTGGGGCTAGAGGTGCGCATCACCACACCCAGCTAATTTTTTTATCTTTAATAGAGACAGGGTTTCAGCATGTTGGCCAGGATGGTCTCGATCTCTTGACCTCATGATCCTCCCACCTCAGCCTCCCAAAGTGCTGGGATTACAGGCGTCAGCCACCGTGCCCGGCCTTCTTTTTATTTTTATTTTTAATTGAGACAGGGTCTTGCTGTGTTGTCCAGGCTGGTCTTGAACTCCTGAGCTCAAACAGTCCTCCTGCCTCAGTACCCCAAAGTGCTGGGATTGCAGGAATGAGCCACCGTACCTGGCCTGAATTAATCTCATTTTAAAATCATTTTGATAATTTAGAAGCTAAAGTAATTAGCTTCATTGTAGAGTTGATTGTAGGGTTCCACATTGAAATAGCTCACACATTATCTATCTCTATCTATCTATCTATCTATCTATCTATCTATCTATCTATCTATCTATCTATCTATCTATCTACCTATCTATCTTGATTGTAGGCTTCCACATTGAAATAGCTCACACATATCTATCTATCCATCCATCCATCCATCCATCCATTTATTTTTTTTAAATTTTTAATTGTTTTCTTTTTTCTCGAGACAAAGTCTTGTTTTGTCCCCCAGGCTAGAGTGCAATGGCGCGAACTTGGCTCACTGCAACCTCCGCCTCCTGGGTTCCAGCGATTCTACTGCCTCAGCCTCCCGAGTAGCTGGGATTACAAGCACACACCACCATGCCTGGCTAATTTTTTGCATTTTTAGTAGAGATGGGATTTCACCATGTTGGCCAGGATGGTCTTGATCTCCTGACCTCGTGATCCGCCCGCCTCGGCCTCCCAAAGTGCTGGGATTACAGACTTGAGCCACCGCGCCCGGCCATCTCCAACTTTTTTTTAAGGAGAGAGTCTCACTGTGTTGCCCAGCCCGGAGTGTGGTGGCAAACTTTCAGCAAAGTGGAAAGAAGAGTATAATGAAGGCATACAACCTTTTTCTAGTAGAGGCTCAGTTAACATTTTGTCACATTTTTTATTTCTCTCTTATGTATATATACATTTTTCACCCTTAACTATTTGAGAGTGCCACAGACATCATGATACTTTAGCCTTAAAGTCTTTGAACATGTCTCTTCTGAAAGCATAATCTCAATACTTTTGGTATAATTGATGTATTTACATGATCTAACAGTTCTGATTCCATATTCTGGGTTTCCCAATTGTCTGAATAGTATTTATATCCTTTTTCCTTTTTATAGGTTTTTTGTTTTTGTATTGCAGTCTATCTGTTGCTTCAGATCTATTAATACTTGCTTTATTTAGGTACAGTAGGTTATTTTTTAATCTAGGTGAGCCAGAGATGATACAACGTATTTAGTTGTCATGTCTCTTGTAATCTAGAATAGTTGTGTGCTCTTTTTTGCCTTTCATGACACAGATATGTGTATCTTGTAGAATGCCCTACAGTGTGGATTAGAGTCAAGTTAAACGTTTTTGGCATACTGCATAGGTAGAATTCTATAGGCTATGTAGTAAACTATTACATAAATAATGTGTACTTCCCAGTATGTGCACATAATTTTTTCTTTTTTTTGTTTTCCTCTTAATTGAAATAAAATTTGTATAGAGTGAAATGCACAATGCCCTTTATTAAAGAGGCAAGTGTAGCATAGTGGTCAAGAAAGGGGTTTGCACCTACTTCCGCCACTTAACTCTGCAATGCTGGGCAGATCACTTCTTTGTGCGTTAATTTCCTGATTTGATTTTTTTGTTTGTTTTTGAGACAGAGTCTTGCTCCGTTGCCCAGGCTGGAGTGCAGTGGCACAATCTCGGCTCACTGCAAGCTCTGCCTCCCGGGTTCATGCAGTTCTCCTGCCTCAGTATCCCGAGTAGCTGGGACTACAGGTGCCTGCCACCGGGCCCGGCTAATTTTTTTTGTATTTTTTTAGTAGAGACAGGGTTTCACCATGTTAGCCAGGATGGTCTCTATCTTCTGACCTCGTGATCCGCCCACCTTGGCCTCCCAAAGTGCTGGGATTACAGGCGTGAGCCACCACGCCTGGCCTTCTGATTTGATTTTTAAATGGAGTGAATAATAGTAGTATTATCATGAGGATTAGATGTGTTAATACTTGTGAAACTAGTTCATATAAATTCTTGCATATAGTAAGCATTCAATAAATGGTAGCTATTATTCATTCTACTAAAAATTTTAATTCTTGCCAATAGAGATATTTGAAACTATCTTTGTGTATGTTTGTAGTCATGGTCTTCAGCTTTATGTATGTTTTCTAGTAGTAGTCAGTGCCTATGAAACTATTCTGTCTTCTTAAAAGTACAGAAATTCCCTTTGGCCAACTAATATTCTTACACATAGTAGGATCTCTGCATTTATTTGCTTAATGAATGAAAGATGAATGGTTCAAGTGTATGTTTTGAAGGAATGTTTTTTCACTTCAGTCTTGACGATAGGGAGACGTGTTTATTCATCTGTATAAATATCTAATAAATGCATGTTATGCAGCAGGCAGTGTGCTTTGCATATGCTAGTGTGCATAGAATGGGCAGCTGATCTGGGAGCTAGTGAACCAGTAGTAACAGATATGTCATGTCATGTGAGGGTGCCGTGGGAACCCTGAGTAATAACTTTCTGGAGAAAGTGACATCACAATCTTGGGAGAGGGACTAGAAGTTCAGAGGCCTGGAAGTGCACGAGTGTGGAGTGAGGAAGTGAAAGGTCAATATGTCTGCAGGTGTGAGTGTGTGTGGAAGGACAGACGTCAAGGAGAGGAGCAGCCACCAGTGGCTGTAGGTGGGTGTCCAAACTGGGACACTTTGGAGAGTGAAATAAAGAACTATTAATAATTATTTGGGGCAACAGTTAAATTGAGGCTGTCCCAGGAAAGCTAGAATGGTTCCCACTGCTTGTAAGCCATGTTAAGGGGTTTGAGTTTATTCCAGGGGCACATGGTGGCTCTATCTTTGTGGGATTCTAGAGGCTAGATTATAAAGTTTGGGAGTATGTTTTCTGATCCTTGTCTTTCAGAAAAGATTGTGAAAAGTCAATTAAGTTTCTGTGCCCTTGTGGTCAAATGGGCTTGGTAAAATGCCTCCACTTGGGACGGGTGCTTCTGTCATCACATGAAGGAACAGAACCTAGATATGAACGTTTTGAATGTGTGTGTTTTACAATTTTATGTTTCCATAATGATGTATCTTGGATAGCTAGTATGTTGCCTTTAAACATTAAAGGGAAATGGGATTTAGGATAGATTAGTGGTTGTAGATGTAGGTTAGATCAGAATTTATCTCCAAACTAGTGGAATCTTAATCTTAGTGATTTTTTTTCCCTACAAATATTTAACAGGGAGCTGACTTACATCTGTTGAATGCTTCCTGGAGCAAATAACACTTGTGTAGTGCTTAGTATGTACTGGGCACAGCTCTAGGAACATTTAACCCTTATAATAACACTAGCAGTGTTATTCTCATTTTACAGATGAGAAAACCAAGGCCCTGAGCGCTAACTGTCTTGCCCAGGGTCATACAGCCCGTCCACAATGGAGCCTGGGATTGAACCCAGGCCTCCTGGCTTTGGAGTCTGTACATAACCATTTGGCTCTGCTACTCTCACATGTAAGCAATGTTATTAGTAGCTACAGGAATAGAGAGAAGTTTGGAAGTATTCTTGTATTAGATTTAGGTAAATTTTTCATAATGATTTTTATGTTTTACAGCCTTCAAAAGTATGTTCGGGAACAGATTCTACTAGCAGTAGCAGTAATTGTAAAAAGAGGATCATTAGATAAATCAATTGACTGCAAAAGCATTTTTCATGAAGTCAGCCAGTTGATTAGTAGTGGCAATCCCACTGTGGTAAGTGTGCTGTTTGTATTTATAAATATTAACAATTTATATTTTCTGTTACACAAATAGCATTATAGCAAGAGTAATGGATATCTACATAAACAAAAAAGTGAAAAAGCTATCAGTCAAGCAATTTTCATTTGTTCAGGTTTTCTTCTAGTCTTTTTTTTTCTTTTTTTTTTTTGAGACAGAGTTTTGCTCTTGTTGTCCAGGCTGGAGTGCAATGGCTCAATCTTGGCTCATGGCAACCTCTGCCTCCTGGGTTCAAGCAGTTCTCCTGTCTCAGCCTCCAGAGTAGCTGGGATTACAGGCATGTGCCACCACGCCTGGCTAATTTTGTATTTTTAGTAGAGACAGGGTTTCTCCATGTTGGTCAGGCTGGTCTCAAACTCCCAACCTGAGGTGGTCCGCCCGCCTTGGCCTCCCAAAGTGCTGGTATTACAGGTGTGAGCCACCGCGCCTGGCCTAGTCTTTTTAAATATATGTACATAATATAAATGTGGTGTACTTTGCTTTTTTGTTTGGTTCTGTATTTTCCATGTTGCCATAAATATTCATAATCATGATTTTAATTGTTATAAAATATTATAAGCTAATATGCCATAATATCGTTAACCATTTCTATTGAACTTTGTTTTGCCATTTCTAATAAACCTTTGATAGCTACTAGTGATTACAGAAGTGTTTGAATAAAATAGAAAATATCTGACATAACAAAAATAATTAAAAGTTGCTGTCCTAATAGGCCATTGGACTTTAGCAGTTACTGTCAACTGAACAAATTAGGGATCACTGTTCTTGGCTGAATTACTTTGGGAAGCCTGTTCCCCCACCCTCTCCACTCTCCTGTCTACCTTTTAGAGAGCTGGAGTTGTGCCTGGAGAGTGGCTTTTTGGTTGTAATCACTCTGAGGCAGGAGGAGCTGTGGTTGCTTTTAATGATTAGCTGTGATTCTTGGTTTTTTTTTTGGTTTTTTTTTTTTTTTTGAGACGAAGTCTGGCTCTGTCGCCCAGGCTGGAGTGCAGTGGCCGGATCTCAACTCACTGCAAGCTCCACCTCCCGGGTTTACAACATTCTCCTGCCTCAGCCTCCCGAGTAGCTGGGACTACAGGCGCCCGCCACGTCGCCCGGCTAGTTTTTTGTATTTTTTTTAGTAGAGACGGGGTTTCAATGTGTCAGCCAGGATGGTCTCGATCTCCTGACCTCGTGATCCGCCCATCTCGGCCTCCCAAAGTGCTGGGATTACAGGCTTGAGCCACCGCGCCCGGCCTATTCTTGGTTTAACCTATCAGCTTTTATCACCTGAATGATATTTCACTCATATAGAATTGAGATTGGTAATACTTGGCCGTTCTGAGTCTCGGATATTAAATCTTTTAAGTGTTTTGGGTAGCTTATTACCTTAACATTTTTAAACCATTTTAAAGATATCTATGTGAGGCTATATGCCGTATAACTGTTTGTTAATTCCTTTTGTCTTCATTGGCCCCTCAGTTAGTGGATGTGATTTTCACCGTGTAGTTGACGCTTTGAGGTTGAGATGCAGTGGTGCATTTTAGGAGGGCCATATACATTGTCCCTTGCTTTCCACAATATCTTCGATCTCTTTTCTCCTGCCTTTGTATCCACCACTTTTCACTGCACACAGCTATGCACTCACCTCACTGTCCCAGCCATCTGCTTCCACTCTGCTTAGGACCGCAGACTGATACCCCAGGAGTCTAGAGCCACGGAATCTGTAAGCAAGCTGGTCAGGACTTTGGAACTTACTATGTATGTCCTAAGTGTTTTTTGTTTTCCTTAGAAATTCATCCGTGGTCATGTGTTTGTTCTTTTTTTCCCCTTAACTTTATTGAGAAGTAATTTACATGCATTACTATGTCTAAAATGCACGCCTCGTTAAGTTGTGACAGTTGTGTGTACCAGTAAACTCCTACCATAGTCAAGATACAGAACATGTTTATTTACATCTTGATGTTTTATTGTGTGATGTTACGTTTTATGCCATTTTTGTGGCAAATTTCCTCAAGAGTAGTGCTGTCCAGTAGAACTTACTGTGTTGAAAGAAGTGTTGGATGTCTGTGCTCCCTAATATGTAGCCGCTACGCTGGCCACTTGCGGCAGTTGGTCATGTGAAATGTGGCTAGGGTGACTGAAGAACTGAATTTTCTAATCTTTTAAATTTTAATTTAAATTCAAATAGCCACACGTAGTTAGTGACAGACATACTGGATGGTGTCGTTCTACAGACTGATAATCTAGTTTTATGGCCCTTTTACTTAATCTTAGTATTGTGAAATTTAGTTTTTTTGTATAAAACTAATACATTTGAAAGTATATATGTTTGAATCTTTACATTCTATAAGTCATTTTGATTTTGTTTTATGAAGTGGGACTATTTCTTGAAAGTAATCACCTAAGAAGGGTTCATATTAAATTTTCGAGGTGAAAATTATGGGGAGCTCCTTTTTTTTAAATTTAAGAGACAGGGTGTGATGCAGTGGTGCATAGCTCACTGCAGCCTCAGTCTCCTGGGCTCAACCAGTCCTCCCACCTCCCACCTCAGCCTCTCGAGTAGCTGGGATTAAGGTACAGGCTACTTACTGTACCTGGGTAGGAAGCTTTTTTTTTTTTTGAGATGGGGTCTCACTTGCTCTGTTGCACAGGCTGTGCAGTGCAGTGTTATGATCACAGCTCACTGCAGCCCCGAAGTCATGGGCTCAGGCTTCCCACCTTAGTCTCCTAAGTAGCTGGGACTATAGGCACAAGCCACCACTCCTGGCTAATTTTAAACATTTTTTTGTACAGACAAGGTTTCACTATGTTGCCCAGGCTGGTCTTGAACTCCTGGGCTCAAGTGATTCTCTCGCCTCAGCCTTCCAAAATGCTGGGATTACAAATAGGAGCCACCGTGCCTGGCCATGGGAAGCTATGTAGTGTAAATTGTGGTGGTAGACATAGTCTCCATTTCTGATCAGTGTGTTGTGAGCTTTTCAGTTGACTGTAAAAGCATTTTTCATGAAGTCAGCCAGTTGATAAGTAGTGGTAATCCCACTGTGGTTAAGTGTGCTATTTGTATTTATAAATCTTAACAATTTATATTTTCTGTTACACAAATAGCATTATAGCAAGAGTAATGGATATCTACATAAACAAGTGAAAAAGTCATCAGGCAATTTTCATTTGTTTAGGTTTTCTTCTAGTCTTTTTTAATGTATATACATAATACAGATGTGATGTACCTTGCTTTCTCATTTGATTCTGTATTTTCCATGTTGCCATAAATATTAATCATTATTTTAATTGTTATGAAATATTATAATCTAATATACTATAATAGTCAAATATACCAAATATAATATACCAAATATTATAAGCTTTGTTCATGAGATGCTGATGCTTCAGCAGTACCTACGCGAGTTGTATAATGGTAATCTTGTCATTTCTATGAATTTTGTTAGAATTTGCTTCCACACTAATGGCCATGTGCATTATCCAATGGTGTTCATCATAGATAGCCTGGGGAAAAAGAAGTGGTCGATAGACGTAGATAAAACTAGCAGAGAAAAGGTTTGCAACTGAGGCTGCTACTTGGAAATATTATCTTTACCCCTAATACTCTGAATCAAGTTGCCCTTCGTATTTTAGATTTCACATAAGAACATCTTGTTTCATTTTGACCGGCTGCAGTAAAAGAGTCCAGCTCATTGTGATAGACAGGATTTAAACTTGAGGAACATTACTAGTAACTCTGAGATCTATCTATTTATGACTAATACCTTTCCCTTGTTTGTTTGGTGATCATTCCAGCCAGGGTTTTGGTATTGGGGTAGAATTTATGCGGCCTGCCCTCACCCCCTACAAGTAGCTTGTTAGTACTGGGACGGCACAGGCAAAGGATCAAGAGTTCCTTGCCTCTCTCAGGAATGAGCACATACTTGGGAACTGAGTTCTCTGCTTCCTTTCCCCTTGGGTAATTTGACCCAGCACAAAAACTAGTCCCACTGCAACCTGGCAATTGGATTTTTTTTGAGCCGCTGAAATAACTGATCTTCTGAGAATGATTGGAACAGATGTCACTGTTCAGTTAGATAGGATTTTGCTCTCTTCATAGTGTGTACACTTTGAGAATAGTGGATAAATGTAATATTCTCATGAAAGACTCCAAAGATATTTTTAAAGTCAAATTTCTTCCTTTCTTTTTTTTTTCTTTTGAGACTGGGTCTTGCTCTGTTGCCTAGGTAATGGAGTGCAGCGGTGCAGTCCTGGCTTACTGCAGCCTTGACCTCCGCATGCTCAGGCAATTCTTCCACCTCAGCCTCTTGAGGAGCTGGGACTACAGGTGCACGCCACCCCACTGAGCTATTTTTTTATATTTTTGTAGAGACAGGGTGTTGCTACGTTGCCCAAGCTGGTCTCGAACTTCCAGGCTCAAGCATTCAGCCCGCCTTGGCCTCCCAAAGATCACAGGTGTGAGCCACCATGCCTGGCCGAAAGTCAAATTTTTAATACCAGGGCTGAGAACTACTATAATAGTAGGAAATCAATAGTGGGAAGTAGAATTTAATTTCAGGATTGCGGGATGGAATTTATTTTGGCGACTGTATTAAAAACATTAAATGTGAAAAATATTCTCTGCTTTATATGGCAAGTTAAATGCATACACTGTCCCTATTTGTCCTTGCCTAGTAGCTTGAAACTAGCTCATTAGGAAGGCCTAAAAAATGAAGTTGAGACATTTTCATATATCATCCTCTCTTCTTCTTGGACTGTTAAGAATTTGTAAGTGGTTCAAGAATTTACTTAATATTTTCTTAGTCTCAGACATAAATGACAGTGAACAAGATGATTAAAACCTCTGTAAGAAAGGAGAATGATAACTGATCAGAACATTGATTTAGTATTGGCTAAAAACTTTCTTTATAAAGGTGATTTTTAAGAGAGATTTGAAAAGTAGAGAAAATTAACTGAAGGTTTTCTATAGATGAAGAAAGAGTTGACCTCATGAA